GGGGGAAGGGATACTTTTACAAAGCATCTGTATGGATGAGTATCTGACACTGGAAAAGATTTACGCCGGGTAGATTCTTCGCGATTCTGGATCATAACATATGTCCTCATGTCCTCCTTCCAGAAAAGCCCTTAATAATCCCCCCTCCCCCAAGCAACGCGCTTAATACTCATCAGTGTTACTGCTATATATTTGTGCAAATTTTGAGACATCTCATGCTACAAACATAGGCTATGATTTTTTTTTTGTCTCAATAGATTTTGTGGTCGATAGTTACATTCTCACCTTTCTTTATGAGAAATAATATTAAGAAAACGCTCAGGCCCATGTCAAATTTCCTAAAACTGTTTAACTTAAAAAAATATCTCTTAGTTATAGAAGGAAGATTGCTTGCCACGAGGTAGATAAACATTAAGTCTGAAGAAAGTCGCATCGTGGTCCCACAATGTTAATCCTCTTGTCCATAGACTAATATGCACGTTTGATGCCCTAACAAATGAAGTATTACGTTATTTGAAAAACACTGACTTATCCCAACAGACTGCTCCGAAGTTACAAAATCGCGAACTGGCCTGTATCGCATCGATCCCGATGGAAAAGGCGCAATCAAGGTATTTTGTGACATGAAAACAGATGGAGGTGGTTGGACAGTATTCCAGAGAAGGATCAACGACAGGAAAGACTTCTCTCGGAATTGGACCGAATATAAAAACGGTTTTGGTAGTCTGGGAAGGAGGACAAGCTTTTGGCTTGGGAATGAAAACCTCCATCGATTGACAGCCAATCGAAGGGTTTCGTTACGAGTTGAGTTGGAGGCTTGGAATCACCCCCACAAAACGTTAACAACCACGTACAAGGAATTTTACGTCGGCGACGAGGCCTCTCTGTACCAGATAACATTAAGCAAGGGAAAAGGCTCTGCTGGTGATGCTCTTCGTCCGCACAGGTCCATGCCTTTCTCCACCAAAGACAGAGACAATGATAAGTCTCAGAGAAACTGTGCCGAGCGCTATAAGGGAGGATGGTGGTACAAAAGTTGCTTTTACTGCAATCTGAACGGGGAGTACATCAACCGAGAAGATATCGGGAAAGACCCCCATCACTTTGGTATCGTTTGGCGAAAGAAGAAGCTGAGGAAAGAAACTTCTCTGAAGTTCAGTGAAATGAAGTTAAGACCGCCAATGTGAGTGATGGGGAGACAGTTTGGAGTAAGTTCAAAGGATTCTTTACGGGATAATGATAATGATAAATGACAGTTTAGTTATAATGGTTGGTAATTATATAGCAAGTATCGATCACTATTTCCGAGGGTTGAATCAATACGCTACCACAATGAATGTAACATAGCTCCCGGTGAAATAAAGGTTATCTAAAGTCTACGAGGGATTTTGTTATCAGCCATAACTCATAACAGACTACTCGATAGGGAAACAAAGGGTACAATCAGGTATCCACAAGCAATTCCCATCAAAAGATATTGCCACCATTGAAAACAGACAATGTTACCATCAAAAAACAATATAC